TAAGAAGTGGAAGAAATGGGAGCCAAGGGTCTTCCCAAAGGAAACAACATGCGTAAAAGTATTAAATACCACTCTGGGTTCAAGAAACTGCAAGTAGTTCACTAAGATAGGAAAAGAGGCTAAAAATAGAATAGATGCCCATATGACAGGGAGGAACAGGTCTTGAAGAAAGTGTACATGTTTCTATAGACACTTGATAGCTACTGTGCTCTTTTTCAAAATACATTATGCTCAGAACTGCATTTTAGAAATTGTGCTACATATTAAATCATAATACTCATTAAAAACCACAGAGCTCTGTGCTATATATCATTCTAAATATTTTACATATACTAACACAATGATATACATAATAATCCTTCTGTAAGTACTATTACTATGTTCTTTTTATAGAAAAGAAGAGATTTTAAAAGTTTCCTGGCTGTGCCTTTTATATCTCTCATATTTACTTAGGATGTTCACTGCTCATTGTGCCCATATGCTGGAGGGCACTAAAGAGGAAGGGAAAATGTATCAAAGATGTTTTATCAGCTGATGTTCAGAAATTTTGACTGATATCAAGGAATTAACTTGCTTCCCCCTTTCTGGACAATGTCGGTCTTGTAACACTTTTTTATTCTCTTGAAATGGTTGCTATTACTACAGAAATGTCTGCAACTTAGTTTTAGATCTAGCTATTTATGTGGCAATTTTCTAATTATTAGCACCTTTTAGGAACCTATGACGTGTGGCAAGATCTCCCTTCCCGATCAGGTACTCATAATCACTTATTCTGTCTCCCAGTATAAACAAATCTCTCTCAGCTATGATATATCCATACACATTTTTTCTATTTGATTGTATGTATCATTATAAACTTCTAAAAATCTACTGGGAAATAAACAGCTCACCAGGAACTTAGTCATGTTCAAAAGCTTTTACAAAATGGCTAGTAATTTTAGTAGCTGTTTGTCCTGGAATTCTGATGATGTTTCATCAAGGTTATCCTCAACAAGGATGAATTTCTAGAATTAGAAATATTTTCTCCTTTATAGGAGCTGCCTCATTCTAAGAAGCCAGCATCTATAGATTGAAACAGAGATTTCTTTGATGTAGAATTGACAATAAAAGCAAGTTGCTGTACGTACAAGGGAATATTTTTTATTTTCTAAATTATTTTTAACAAATGAAATTCTCTGTATTTATCAGTTCAACATAACGGTTTTGAAATAAGTATAAAAGTGGGATGGCTAAATCAGACTAATTAACATGTATCAGCTCATATACTTGTCATTTTTTTTTTTTGTGAGAACACTTAAAATATACACTCAGCAATTTTTAAAAATACAATACCTTGTTAACTATTGTCACCATGTTGTACAATAGATCTCTTAAACTTATTCCTCCTAACTGAAGTTTTGTATACTTTGACTAATATCTCCACAACCTTCCCTACCCCCAATCTCCAGCCCCTAATAACCACCATTTTATTCTCTACTTCTGCATGTTCAACATTTTTAAATTTCACATATAAGTTAGATTACACAATATTTGTCTTTCTTTGCCTGGCTTATTTCACTTACATAATTGATGTCTTCCAGGTTCACCTATGTCACTGCAAGTAGCAGGATTTCCTTACTTTTTATGGCCAATTAGTACTCCATTGTGTATATGTATCAACACTTAGGTTAATTACATATCTTGGCTTGTGTTAATAATGCTGCAATGAAAATAGGGTTACAGATATCTCTAAAAGGTATCCCGGGCTGGATTCGAACCCACCACCTTAGGTGTATGTGGCTGGTGCCCTGGCCACTTGAGCCACAGGCACAGAGCTGACATAACTTTTTCAACATAACCCAATTTAACATAACTTAATGGAGAACATGTTGTTAGCCATTACTTCTTTGTTCTTATTGGATGATGCCTGAGGCTATGGAGGAAAAAGGTAGATTGAATACCTGCCCTTGCTGGTCTTGCTATTTTGAGGCTGTTACTTTGGATCTTTAAACAAGGCATAGAGAACTTCTTGGGCACACAGGAATTTGTGTGCAAACCTCTGCTCCCATGTAGGCCTTAAGTCAGGGGGTTTTTGCTGGAATTTTTTTATAAGGAATTTTCAGGCTGGACTTCTCAAAAGCCTTTCACGAGCCCAAGTTTCATCTGTGCCATTAGATACCTTTATGCATTGGGTAAATTCCTCTTGTCTTGAGGTTCCTGAGCACATTTCCATTCCTGGATCCATCAGCAAGCGACGTTACTTACCACAGATCAGGAAAGGTTACTGATGGGTATCTGGCCAATTTTCCAAAGGGCTTTTTTATTGGCCTTATAAAGTTAACCTTAATTCCTTAACACAATAAATGCTATTCCAGCTGAAGCCTTGGGCATGTTAGGCTCGTAACCAACCTGGCCACATGGGATTCTGCCTCAGTTTCTTACAAGTATGCCTGCACAAAGTCTTTTCACTGCTCTCTCTCAAGCGGCTATTTTGGCCAGAGGCGTATAGGTGTTTTGCCTATATTTTAGGACAGATTTTTTTTTTTTTGCAGTTTTTGGCTGGGGTTGGGTTTGAACCTGCCACCTCCAGTATACAGGGCCTGCGCCCTACTCCTTTGAGCCACAGGCACTGCCCCAGATTTTTTTTTTTTTAATCAGTGATCAAGGGGATAAAGAAAAATAAATGAGCACTTGGGAAGCCAAGGCTGGCGGATTGCCTGAACTCACAGGTTCCAGACTATCCTGAGCCAGAGCAAGACCCCATCTCTAAAACTAGCCAGGTTATTTAGAGAGCCAGGTATTTACAGGTGCCTGTAGTCCCAGCTATTCAGGAGGCTGAGACAAGAGGATCACTTGAGCCCAAGAGTCTGAGGTTGCTGTGAGTTATGAAACTATGGCACTCTACCCAGAATGACAGAGTGAGATTCTGTCTCAAATAAATAAATAAAATTCCCCCAACTTTAAACTCTGCCTCAGTTCAGAGAGATGGCTGGGATTTGTTTGGGTCTCTCCTCCCTGTGCTGTAGGCTGGAAATGTTCTCCACTTATTAAGCAGGGCGATCAGAAAGCTCATTTCATTTGTTTCCTTTCTCTCAGGAAAAGCTGTCCTGAGCTGTCCAGTGTCTAGTAATTTTGTGTATTTTCTTAGATATCTGAAGTGGGAAGTATATACATTAGACACTGTTAAAGAAAAAGGGATTATTAAAATTGGCTATGAAAGATTTGGTCAGTATTTAGATGCATTATGTCACATTCATTCCATACTCAGAATAGGTTAATTTATGCAATTTCAGAATAGATACAAACTCACATTTAGCAATATTTCCAGGAGCACAAATCTCATGTTCTTTTAGGGAATTTCGAGTTCTGTTCTGGCGCTGATGGTTTTAATAGTTCAAGAGCACATCATGACGTTCACATATAAAAATCACAGCATAAGATTGATTATAAAATAAAAAATGTTTGGATTGTAATTATCATAGGTCAATATACTTTTCCAAATTTACTTAATGGCTAGGTGAGAATTTATCATAGTGTAAATTTTCTGATATCTAACATTGTTGTGAAAGGCAGGATGGCCTCCCAAAGATGTCCATACGCTAATCACCAGAACCCATGAATGTGTCAAATTATGTAGCAAAGATGAATTAAGGCAACAGATGGCGCTAATGTTTCTAATCAGATGATTTTAAGATAGAGAGATAATCCTGGTTTATCTGGTGGAACATGGAAGAGGGAGGCAGAAGAACAAAGTATTAGAGGATGAATGTGCTGATTGGCTATTGCTGGCTTTGACAATGGAGGCCGCAAAACACAGAATCTGAGCAGCTTCTTGAAGCAATAGGGCAAAGAAACAGATTCTCTCTTCCACTCTCCAAAAAGAAATAGAGCCCTGCTGACAACTTAACTTAGCCCAATGAGATGCAGTTTGGATATCAGATCTCCAGAACTGTAAGATAATTTTTGTATTCTTTTAAGCCATCAAATTTGTGGTAGTTTGGTGCAGTGCCATAAAAAACTAACGTTGTTATGCTTCCACATTCATTATGTTGATAGGTTTTCATTACATAATAAAATTACTAGTGTTCAAGATTTCATTTATTAGGGAAGTCTTTGCAAGACTCCCAAGGTATAAATGTGTGATACATGAATGAGTTTGGAGAATTTCCATCATTTCTTGCTTTCAGGGGTTTCTCTTTTCTATAAATTTGCCTATATTTTTGGCTCGGCACCCATAGCTCAGTAGTTATGGTGTTGGCCACATATACTGGGGTTGGCGGGTTCGAACCCAGCCCAGGACTCCTAAA